CTGCTTAATTTCAGAACACTGAGACAGCTCACAGTGGTTAGTTTTGGATGGAGTTTTGCTACTTAGGGCTAGGATTAACTTGAGAATATTAAAGCTGATCCCCATAAAGGACAAAAATAATTAAAATGAAAAGGAAGGAAACTAAATCAGTACACTGAAAAATTCTCAAAAATAGAAATATTTTATCACTGTTTCACATTTTAGTTCCTGTTTTTGTAAAGCCATATTCTAGAACAAACTATATTCCTAAATTAAAGCAGCTTAAGTTCAAATCCTCTCTATGCCTGTGTCCTGCGGCTTTAAACTTTGGTTTATTTGATCAAAAAGGAATGAATGGCAGAGATATGTTTGGAGGTTTTAATGTATCAATTGCATGTAATCCTGATATTTAATTTTGTACTTCTAGGGGTCATATCTGTTGCATGGAAGATGCTGAAGCAGTATGTTTGTACTTTCAATTTTTCCTTAAATAACTTCCCAGGAAAATATTATCTCTACATTTGGAGGCATAACACAAAAAAGGCAGTTGCCGTTTGTATTACAGATTTTTAAAGTTTGTGATTGATTTGTTATTGTATATAACTTTATTGCCAACAAGTATTGTTAGACAATGAATACAATAAAAAAACATCAGCTGAAATGATCATTTTGAAGTGTGTAGTTACCATCTTGCCTAAGTTGTGGAAAAAATCCAAATCAGACTGAAATGTAATTCTGTCCTTAGTGGAAAAGAAAATAAACTTCAGTCTTGAACTAAAAGTATGCTGCTCCTCCAAGAACTTTTGGCTTTTTCTTCAGAAAATGTCTAAAATGTTTTTTAGGACTTGTGGGTAAAAACATGTCCTATTCCCATGCGATTTTTGGAGGTTCCACTTTGTCTCCACCACCTCCAAGAATTGGACAACTGGGTGGACTTTTGAGAATAATTGTTGAAGCTTGTTGAATGCTGACATGTCACCCAAAATGTGGCATAATACTTTTGACACGCATGTCATAGGTTTGCCATCACTGCCAGCTTCCTATGAAGTGGCGCTGACAGGGTTCTTGTAGTCCTCTTTAAAATAACCAAGCAACTATCAGGCCAATTATATAATCATATAACCAGCTACCACGTCAACTTACCTTGGTTTTTGCTTTTCTACTTAGTAAGCACCAATCATTTATGGTTTAACGCATTTGTGCCTATCTGATAGGAGGGGGTTGGTGGAGTAAAACAGAAATATTCAGGATTGAAATTATGAGCAATTTAGTTTAAACGTTTTTGTAAAAGGCAATGGACAGTAACATCAATAAAGATAGAAAGGGTGGCCAATAAATTTTACAAACAAACAAATCAACAAATAGAATTCATTCCCCCCCCCCCGGCCTTTTCTCTTACAAAAGAGTTCAATTGTTATCCATGCAATGTGGAATCAGCAGAAAGTTAAACTGAAATAAGCTGTCCTGGCTGCCAATCCTTACCCTGTTTTCTGTTGTCTCTGTTCTAAGCATCCAGCAGATCTCACACACTTTCAAGTTGCTCTTGAACAATGTCAGACAAGGGACAAAATATCTACAAAGTGAAACAGCTAAATTTATAAATTTAAATTTATCATACTCATAGGTTTGGAATAACAGGAAGACAATGTTAAGAGCAAAATTGAGTTTGTGCTGTTAAGGGCAAGTAGAGATATGCCCTTAACTACCCCAAGTAATATTAAAAGGTCATAGTGATATCACTTGCAAATTAAAATGTTAGAAAAACATTTTGCACTTGTACACTTACTTTTGTGTAAAAGTACATTTCCCAGGAGTCTACAAAAAGAGAGATTGCAACTGCTCAATTTTCAAAACTTGAGTTGTTACCTATCTTGTTTATCTGTGTCCAGGAGAGGGCACCATTCCCCACCAAAATTAGAATTGGAAGAGAACTTAGTGATCTTATTGTTCTATTAAATTCACCGCTAGATTACACACTGCATGAAATCTTCAGGAAAAGCAGTTTCCCCATTTTTCAGTCATTTTAACATAAAATGTTTACATGCTAAACATTTATTCAGTAAAAGCGGTTGTTCAGCATAATGTGAATCCTTTTGGGGTGAGGAGAATCATTAGACAAAGGTTATATAATTTACAGGCTTTCATATGCTACATCTTCTCATCTTCTCTGTTCTTCAGCACAAATGCCTAATAATATTGTTAACTCCAATACATTGCAAAAGAAAAAAAATTACTGACAGTTGTTTTCCTGAGAAATGAAAATAGTGTAAAAACCTGTTTTTGTTAAATATCCACTTGATAGCCAAGTGAGCTTTGATTAGGATTTAATTATGGTCCTGGAAATACATTTATATTTATTGGAAATATTGGAGATACACACACACACACACACACACACACACACACACACACACACACACACACACTACCAGATAAGGCTAAGTGAACCCACCAGGATTAACCAAGCCTAATAGAGAAGAATGGACATTTGGGGGGGGGGGGGAAAGCACCTGAAGGTAAGCAAGAAGCAACGGATGGAAACTGATCACGGAGAGAAGGCAAGTAAAATGCAGTAGGAATGGGGAGTGCATGTGCTTCAACATAAGAGAGTCAAGACTGAATAGAGACTGAATGCAAAATCAGTATGAAAAAAGTACAGTAGTTAAGAGACACATGTGAATGAATGAGAATGATTGCAAAACTAATATACAAAGGAAAAGTGAATGGGTCAAAAGGATAGAGAGGAAACCATGCTTGAATGGAGCCAATGAGTTCGTAAAAAAAAAAAGATCTAATCTAAAGAAAGGGTAAAATGACATATGGACAAAAAAATTACAATGAATGATGTCTCATTTCTTAACTCCTCTTTTCATCAAGAACTTTGCACTTAGCTTTTAAAAACAGCAAGATGTTGCTTTTGGCTTTAGTTATAAAAAAAACGTCTAGAATTCAGAAGTGACCGTGCCTGAATTGAAATGGTTGATTTCCCCAGTTGATTTCCTTCAGTTGGGCAACACAGAACTAAAGCATATATCACTGAGTTGGATTTAATCCTGAAGTAATCCACAGCTATTTGAGAAAGTAGGTGAAAATGAACTTTTCATCAGCATTAAGAGCTGTATATCCACCTGAAAGACAAAAGTTATTCTATTTGGCTATTAACAAAGGGTGACAAGCCAACACTTTAATTGTTTTAAAATAATTTTGAAGTTAGCAATTTATTTGTTCCATATCACAATTAAATCTGATAGTACAAAAATGTAAGATAGGACTAGAATCCTTGGTCAACCAAGATATAACACAAATTTGAAACTCAAATACATGTTAGTAACTGATTCCTTTTCAATTTAGTTAGAAACTGTAGTGGGTTTGCAATATGTGAAAATATGGCTAATCAAGTTCCCTTATGCTATCAAATTATACATTAATGTGTAGTTGGGCCAGAATATGGATGCACTTCCAGATCGATTGGCAAAATACTTTGAAAATGTAATCCCTCTTTGCATTATATTCAGCATTTTTGTGATTTGCCTTACATAACTTTTCACGACACTGAAAGTGCAAGGATACTGTGCCTAAATAGGGAATTGGTCCGCTGCCTGGTTAATCAAAGTGCACCTTCCTCTCTTTTCAGAGTAATTTATTTGTTAGATTCTCAAATGTCCAGTCTGTGCCACAAAAGCATAAAAGCAGCTCCAACTTTATTCAACCAAAATCATGTGGGTTAAATTGGATTGAGAAAGTAACTATCTTAAATTAGCTACGTAATCTGTAGTGAAGGTTTTTTTTTTTTAATGTACCTCCTAACTGACTAGGCTAATAGTACCAGGAAGATTTTCAGAATTAAAAGAATGGTGCTGAAACATCAGTAGAAAATAATTGTCTGAAAACAAAACTGGGAGATTATATTGCAGGAAGATATTTTCACTGTCCCTCTGCCTTCTGCCCACATTATTGAGAGATTATCTTGACCCATCAACATTCAATGCTAAGAATAATTAAGTAGAGCTGCATATGTCTTAACACAAGGACATGGAAAAATGGAAGCTTTTGAGTAGAAGGATTAAATGATTTTGGGTTGGTACATTAAATTCTGGGGGATGGAGGGGAAAGCAGTATTTTATTATTTCTGGGCATCAGTTACTAATGGCAGGTAATTTTAAACTGATTTTTTTGTAAAAAATAAAATAAAATCAAATAGTTGCAGCATGTCAGCAACTTCACAGAGGTAGGACCAAATGGGAAAGCTTGTGTGAACTCGTTATACAATTTCTTCCTACATTTCCGTAGAAAAAGAAAAGGGAAAGAGGTAGCAAATATCAGCAGCACAAATATTCACACTTAAACTTGGCAGCACTTTGGGAAAATGAAGGTAGTTTAGCCACAGAAAGACTTAACTATAGGAGACTGGTTATAAACTGGGAAGCTGATGCAGGTTCATATGGCCCATCAAGAACCCTTCTTTTAATATCTGTGGCTGCAGACAACACAGAGTGACTAAGCATCTAAAAATTACTTGAGTTGACCAGCAACATAATTGAACAATGTATGCAAGAGATACAGACCACCACAGCAATATCTATCAGGGCTATGAGTGGAGCATCCTTCCAGGTAATTTGTGAACTACATTTCCCAAAAGATGATTGGTCCTTGGCTCTTTACCAGGCAATTCCACTTCAACCAAGCAGAATATGCAAATCAGCCAAGAAAGAGAAAGGCGAATTCATGAGAAACTGAAACAATTGTAGATTAACCATCAATCACTGCTACCTGATGAAACTAAAATATGGCGCAAACTACCATCACTCTGTTTCTGGGTGGAAATGGTTTGAATATGTCTTGAATGAGGAATACTGGAGAAACATAATCCATTTGATCCCATCTGTTTCAGCAAGCAAGATAAGAGGTATCGTGACCCTGAAACTAATGAAATTATATTTGCTATAGTTTGGAAACAGCGAGAAATAAATAAAGGCAAGTGGAATATTTATTTATTTATATTTATTTATTAAATGCTTATGTTGCCCATCTCACCAATACAGTGATTATGGGCAGTTTACAAAAAGATAAATATAAAAACAATTATAATTTTTTAAAGCTATATAAAAAACTAGAACCCAGATGTTGGATGGCATGGGGGTAAGATCTTCTTAACCATTCAACCATACCCAGTTGGGGCCCCAAGACAACCAGCAAAATCTTTGGGGCCCCAAGACAACCAGCAAAACTAGGTTTAAATAACTCTGTAAGGCCAAAAGGCAGGACAAATTGGGGCAAGATGGTTCCTCAAATATGACAGGAATATGTGCCGGATCTCTGATATTTTGGGAACTACTAGATAGATGTGGTTATACTTATAACTTTTAGATAAATGGACTGGCTAACATGAATTTGAAACCTGAGTTAATCAGGTTTTTCTCCATCAAATCAGTAATCCAGTACAGAATTATCAATAACAATAGGTAAATTTTGAGATTATATCATTCTATAGACTTATTTGAGTACTACTTTTTTTTTTTTAGTTTTTATTGTAATGCAGGTGAAAGTTTACTATGATGGACCCATATGTGTCAGAAAGGTTGGGTCAGATTTCAGTGACAATGACTTTTTCAACTGAGACAAAGCTCATGATGTGCCAACTACAGATGGCAAAAAAGGGCTTTCTGAAACACAGTGCCAATGATGAGATGCCTGCCATACATGACAGCAACTGAACTTGCTTGAATTATTGTGCCATCATCCACATACACTTGAGTGATTTTAGGTTTGTCAGAAAGGATATTTTTGACAAGAAGAACCTGGAAGAAATCAAACAGAAATCAATTAGCTAGTCTCTTGCATAAAACTTTGGCTAATGACAATCCTGCTAGAACTTCCCATTCTTCTATGCGTCCTGTTTAAAAAAATAATTAAGGAACACCAGAAGACTAAATAAATAAATAAAATAAAAATAAAAGTGTTTTATATAGATGCTCTACTAGAATGACTTACAGAAATAATAACTTAGTTTCAAAACATCTCAATTGTGATCTCTTACTTCACTGTAAACAAGGTTTTCATGTTTCTCATCTACGTTTCATGATGTTTATCCTTGACTTATGACTGAAATTGAGCCTGCAATTTTGTCATAAAGTGGGTCACTGACTAAATGACTGCTCTAGATTTTATAATCTTTTTTCGTGGTGCTTGTTAAGCAGATGTGGCCGTCATTAAGCAAACCCATTGTTTGCTATGGGACATTTGTTGCTAGAAACTGAAAGTAAATGCTTGTTTCTGGCAAAAATGTTTGAGTTCCTGAATTCTGGTAATGTCTGATATAGTTGGTATGATGCCTATGCTTCAGAATGTATTCATTTTAGGAACAAAATCAATGAATTATTTGGTAATACAGTCCAATTTTATTTAGTGTACTTAAGAAATATCCGGGACTAGTGACCACAATGTTCCTAGCAAATCATCCATAGTATTTCAATAAAGGAAACTCTTGCAATTCTTCAAGAGTCCAACTCTTCTGAAATGTTTGTTGTTCTATTTAAAGGAGCATTTTTTTTTTCAAATAACCTGCAGATAATTAGTTCTTAATTTAGTAACATGGTTATTAAGTGAATCTTCCCCATTGCTTGTGGATTACATGATCCTGGGACATTGCAACCATTATAAATATGGTAACTGTCTGAATTTTGATCATGTGACTATAGGGATGTGAAAAATGGTCATAAACCAGTCACTAAAATGAACTGTTGTGAGGACTACGCTTATTCACCCTGGTTGAAAAATTATTATATAGTTATAAAGTGCTTTGTCAAAAATAATCCTTACTAACTTACCTCTGAGCCAGGAGGATTATTTGGATCATAAGAAAGGAGTTTCGCAGCGTTGGGATGACATCCTAACCAAAGGTCTCCATTAATACGGTCAACTGATATGTTGTCAAGGATAGTGTCCAATTTCAGGACCTACAATGAACAAAAATAAAATTATGTCCCTTCGGCTACAAAGAAAATACAAGACATTTGCTGCAATTAAGCAGAACCACATTTCATTAGGAGCTCATCACAAAAGTCTGCTTACATATCTGTATTAGCATTAGGCAGCTTGGTTCTGTTCCTAAGTCAGACTTCTGAGCCATGAAGCTCATGGAAAAGACACCAGCAGCTCATGGTATCAACTCCAATCTCAGTTTCCTTCAACACAGGCCAAGGCTCTTAGTAGTATCTAAGGAATCAAATGTTCCCTATCTCTGATGTAGCTCTATAATTTATTCTTTGATTGCTAAAAAATTTCATAAATACTTTCAGTCCCAGTATGAAGAGTAATGGAAAATCATCCAAAACAATACATTATCTTTAGTCAAAGCAACCAAGACAATATATTACATATGAGTATTGTGTACTATTACATAATCCCAACCTATTGTTCTAATTGCTACACTTACTTGTTAAGAAATTAATATTTCAAGTGGAAGGGATATGCCTATTTCTTTGACACATTTGTTTACTACCTACATTATATTTCTAAATGATTTATAAGAAAACTTAACTATATATGAGACCATTTCGACACAATACAAACCAAATAAATTACAACAATTTGAGTGGCTGAAAAATCAAAGATATTTTCAGGACCTGCTTAAAAACCAACAAAGGAATTGGTGTTTCTAACACATACAAAATGTTTAGATGTGATAATAGCAAAACCCTAACCCCCGGGCTTCTGTCAAGTGAACTCAGTGGACATTTCCAGATTTGTTTAAATGTTTTTTCACCCTGCCCATGAGAAATAGTGATATGCAGAAGAAGAAGCATGACAAAGCCACTAACAGCTTAATCAATCTCATTTAGCACTAAGCCTAGAAATAAGCACTAAGCCTGAAATTGAATTGTACTTTAGTATGAGTTTTCATGGCTACTTTAGAAACAGTGCAACTTATGCATTTTGAACGAAACGAAGTTACTGGATTGCACATCAAGCTAATCATACATAAGTTGCAATGTGATAGTCAAGACTAGGAGGAGATCAGCTTTTTGAAAGATAATTCTCAAAGATAATATAACTAATTTGCCAGCCAATATAGATAAAAGTTTTCGTATTGATTCCATTTGAAGTAACTACTTCCCTCTGATAGGTAACTCTAACTTGGTTATATATGAGAACAGAATAGTGTCTGCTGGCCAGGTTTCTTCTTTTAAGCAGTCTTTTCCTATGCAGAATATTAGTACGAGCCAAACTTTAGGTATTTCAGACAATGCATTTCTCTCCACTCCAACTAATATTAGTGCTCAGAATTTTATCCATTTTTTCCCTTATTCTAATACCATCTTCCTGTAGTTCTAGATAACAACATAGGCTTTCAGGAAATATCTATCCTTCCTAAATGGCCCTGACTGATAAATCCTTCTTGTCCTAAAGGCCCAATTCTATTAGTGATACTGAATTACCAGTATTAACATCCCATTGACATATGTCATAAACTTACCAAACACCAACAGTAATAATTCATTAGAATTAACGGAAGATACATATTCACAAAAATATATAAGATAGCAGAGTGCTTAAGTTAAAAAAAATATTCAAGATCTAACTTTTGTTTCAGATATAAAGAATACCTGAATAAGTTATTCAATCTTCAAAGAGAACCAAACTTACCTTCACAGGAGATAAATTCATATTAGCCATCTTTTGAAAGACATGGATGCTATGGTCCAAAATATCAGCAACGTAGACAAACCTTGAAATGACATATTGTTAATTTTACTTATGTTATTAGTAAATTATTTGTCCTTACTTCTATCTCCCCTTTCCCAGAATATATGGAAAAAAATAATCAATTAAAAAGAATCTGATAAAATGACCAACTATAAAACCATTTGGTATAAAGGGGTTGGAGGGCCGGTGGAATGTTCTATTATTGGATTAGGGTAGGAAAATTGTACTTCTATATTTTTAGTGAATTCTTATCACAAGATCTTTTAAAGTGGTTCTTAAAACAATTTTTATTTCATTAATACCACTCTTTTCTTTTAAGGAAGTCTTTCCTAACTTGATCATGTTGACTCAAGATTACAGAAGTTGTAATTCAATATATTTAGAAGGCTACAAGTTGCACTAGATTAGGACAACCATCCAACTATATTTCTAGTCTTTTCCTCAAAACAGCATTTTTTTTTATAAGAGATTAATTTTGAGGAACAAAATTTATTGCCTTAGTTTAACTAACCTAAACCACAACAGATAGCATTATCTAGTCAACTTTTACTGATCTTAATAGAGTTAAGCAGGATCCTAGACTACAGCCTTGGAGTGATTAAAAATTAGAAAGATGAGGGGAAAAACCCTAGAATAAGGCAAAGGTATGTCATTTACTTATTACTGACAATAAAACAGTGATGTGCCAATGATTGTCAGGAGGCAACACAGATTAGATTTTTTTTAAAGCTTCCCTCACCTCAATTATATTATGTGTTCTCAAACCCAATGATGAAAGCCTAATGTCATAAAGAACTAAATTAAGGAAGAACTGAGTTAAAAAAGAAACTTACTTTCCATCTGGTGAAATATTAATGCCATTGGCACTGTAAAATCTTGATGCTACTTCTTTAACTTTCTTTGGGCTATAGTAGATAACATTTGTCCAGCTCAAACCCCAAAACATCTCGACATATATAGAGACAGTCTCTGATCGGAAATAACGGTCATTGGTGGCATAGAAATTCTCAGGGCCCACAGCAAGAACATCGTTGATACTATGACAAAAATGAAAAATATAAAACATAACATTATAACACTGACGTTGCATTAGTTGCTTTCTAAATTTTCTTATGAAATTTGTAAAATTGCTCCCAAAATATTGTGTGCTCTAAACACAGACTTTAAGAACACAGATCTGTTTGATAGCTCTATCTGACTTTGTGGTCTGCAGAAAAAAAATATTTAAGAGTAAATAAAATTACAAAAGATAAGCCCCAAACTATTTTGTGCTCTAAACATCCATCAAGTGTCCAAATGAATATATTCCCCAAAATCCTAAAGATGAAATTGACCGTAATAGTCTATGAAGAAAACATTGTCCTCTGTTATAAATTCTGTCTCTTTGAGGATGGTGGTAGAATATAACATAAAGGAGATGCTTTCAAAATGACAACAGAAACTTGACAACACTGAGTAGGGCAGGCATGTTGTGAATATTTCCATAATGGCCTTGAATCTTAGCTTCTCACTTTTTATTGGGCTATTAGTTAATACATCCAATCCTTTCAGCCCTGCCCTATTCAGTATCATTTGGAAGTTGTACGAATGCTTATCTTCTGTAACACTACATATTCCTAAGTAATTGATTTCTACAATATGTAATTTGCTTTAGATTCACATTGCAGCAAATAAAGAATCAACTTGATTCTTACTTTATCTTACAATATCTATCAGTTCTACAAACTTTTTACTTTTTGACTTTCTATGCACCTTATTGAAATGTACTAGCATTAAAATTATATTGTATTGTATTGAATAACTTTTATTTTCATAGCCTTGAAAACCCGACTCTTTACCCAGATCTTTGGTGAGAGATTGAAATCTCACTTTATCAATATGTCCATCTTTTATCTTTTTTATGTTTTATTGATTTTATTGAAATTTGTTTGATTGCTATGAGCTACCATGAGTCATTGAGAATTGGGAAATGTACAAACTTAATTATTAATTATGATAATAGTGCTAAGTATAGAATCAAGATTTTCTTGGATATATACTGTACAATCATATTGCCAAAGGCAGGTGGTATAGCCTAAGATTGGGCTACCTTAGCAGATCCTTATTTCCTGAGCTCTCCCCTTCCAAAATTCTTCTCTTGTATTTCTAGCTCCAAGCACAGAGACACATGAAGCTAGAAAGCTAATAGGCTTAGTTAGTTCCATTCTCTGCATGAAGGCAGTAATCTTCAGCACTTCCAGTTGCATTTCAGCAGCTCAAATGGAGGGTCCTTATGGGTCCATCTGACCCGTGGGCTAGAGATTCTCCATTCTTAGGATATGGAATGGAGTAAGCATTTGACTGTTTAAGTTACTAATAAGAAATATTTTGTAAGCCATCCAGAATCAACTTGTAGGGGAGATGGATGGCACAGAATTTTAATAAATAAAATAATAAAATAAAATACCGCAAAATACAAAAAGCAAAACTGTTTTAAGTCAACTAGTGCTCTCCAAATGGAATACAGCATTGTGGAAAGTTGCCTAAACTCATTCTAGTGCTGATAATTTTTCTATTTCTGCCTCCTAATTTTTAATTAAAAAGGGCATAGACATAGTTAAAACAAGAATGATTTCACAAAGTTAGGCATATATGAAGAAGTAAGATAAGCAATATTGGTTAAACTAGATTTAGCTAAATTTCTTTTTCTTTTGTTTATTTCACTTTAATTTCCTTGGCTTAGTTTTTTTTTTTTTAACAGAAGAGCATGATGCATTTATCTATTTCACGTCACCTCATCATTTCATATTCCTTTCAATCCCCTTTTCCATTTACCCTCTACCTTTCAAATCACAAACACAAACCTAAAATATATTTTTTGTAATATACCTTGTTAGGAGCTCGTGTGTGACAGTTCTTAAGTACAGCAAATATTTTTCATCTTGAAAAAATTTAAATATCTCCACTGCTGACTTGCCTTCTGGATGATTTACCACAAAGAGATATATGCTATCATCTAGAGAAAATGAATATTTGAGCAATGTTAATGCAAGTTACAATGATAACATAAACACATAAAGTAACTGTCAGCGTTTCATTCACCTAATCATCAACTACTGTAATGGATATAGATAATTTCTTCTTTTTTTCTTATGCTGCTCTAAATCTCTTCTACCCTTTATATTACTGACCATAGACCACCAATTTTTTAAAAAATACTCTTAAATTTTTCCTAAAATATGCACAACATATCAGTAGGCATATCATAATTGTCTTCTGGGTTCCTGGTTGTAAGCCATTACAGTCATAAATTTAGGCACCTATCTGGCTGGACCTGAAGTTATAACACTTTGGTGGCAATTTTTAAGTGAATCACTGCAGTAATTAAGCAAATCTGTGGTGGTTAAGCAAATGCTGCAGTTGTAAATGTAAACTCATGCTTCTGAACATATTTTTTTTTGCTAGAAACTGGAAATTTTTTTGCAAATCACAGTCACATGACCATAGGGCATGTTGTAAAGACAAATTGATTGCCAAGTATTCAAAATGCAGTTATATGATCATGAGAGAGTGGGGTGGCAGAACATTTTACCATGGCCAGAAGTGCATTATGGGCCATAAAGCACCTGTTCCAGGCCCATCTTAATTTCAAACAGTTGTTGAGTGATTGTTTGCAAGCTGAGGACTATTTGTAGCAGATATACGCAATGAGAAATATTTTGCCCATACTTTTGGCAAACCCAAAATCGTGATTATCAACCAAAGCTAACTCTAATCAACTTAATCAACTCAAGCTGAAAAGTTAATATGAAGAAAATTAGGACCATGCAATAACTTTGCTTACTCTTCTCCATATAAAAACTGATTCCATGAGGATTGAAAGAATCCAGATCAAATCCACCTTCAATTCTCAATTCAACTGGACGAGGACTTTCTGCGTTTGCATCCAGCAGTAAGATTTGTCCTCCTTTATGAGGTTCAAAGCTTTTCAAACCAGGATATTTCAGACCCTTGAAATTGAAATGAAAGAATTTTTATCCAGTGACAATCAATATTCTATCAAAATTGCTGAGATTAATGATTTCCCATGTGTTTTGAAACCGTTTGAAGCACAGCAAAAATGAATGCAAAGTCCAGAGGCATTTTGCAATAGTTCAGTTGATATTGCTCTTTCCCAGGTAGTCTAATTACAAATAGGACATGTTCTGGTAACCTTATATTTAGGTTACTGTAATGTACCGTAATCAAACCTAGCAAAATAATTGTTTCCCCTGGGTTTTCTTAATTCAGAACAGTGCTCAATTTCCCCCAAATCCATCTTTATTTGATTGCTACGATTTACTGGAGTATAACATACAATGTGACACCAATTCATATTTTCTGAGTTATTTATCATTATTAATACTCATACAATCTCTTCCATTAGACCACACCCCTTTCATTCAGGAATATGTTTCTCCTTAATTTCTTAGGCATACAAATATTTTAATGCATTTATTTCATTCATTTGTTCATGTCAGTTAGCTATTATCCTCTTACAAGTTACAGTTTTCTATATGATAATAGTTATCAAAACTTCCAATTAACAAAGCCTTAATCAATTGAGACTTTCACATAATCTAAAAGAAAGTGATCCCAAAATTATTAGCCACAAATATATTTATATCACATGCAGCAAACTTTGAAAAATGTTAGTATTGAGACAGTTCTGACCCATTCTGGCTAGTGCAAAGTGCAATCAAAGCCAATTTTGCTCCAAGCTGCTCCCATTATTTATACACGCTAGGATATCTACAGACTATTGTACCTTATTTTTCTATTCTCTAGCTCTTCAATAAACATTATTCTTACAAATTTATAATTTGTTTATATTATTATTTTACCTTTTTTCACCATTATTGGGAATGTATAGAAAGAAAATGATCCACACAGAATGATCATAGTTGCTGAAAATGTGGGTAAATGAAATTACACTATTCTTACAGAACTCCTTTAGTGTCTAATATTTTACTTCCATATAGTGCACCAAATAAATGCTGCATTTATTTGCCCCAATAGACTATTTTGTCACTGCAGCTGGTGCTTAAGAGTGGAACACCATGAATTATTTGCAGAGCTGACTAATTTGACGCTTCCAAAACTCTGGGAATTCCTTCCACCAAAGGAATTTGATGCTATCACTTTTAACAGAATAACAGTGTTGGAAGGGACCTTGGAGGTCTTCTAGTCTAACCTCCTATACCATCTCAGAAAAAATGATACAGAGAAATAAATAAAATAAAATAATAAAATAAAATTCAGCTGTGGCCTCCTGCCTATATATTTATCTTGGCTCCACCTACTGCTTAGAATTCAGTCCCCTGGGTCATCCAAGTTAAGCGCAGAGAGGCAACCCAAGGAACCGGATGATTATCAGAAAATTGAATGATTTAACCCATTCTGATAACCTTAAAGTTAATCCATAACGGGCACAACATAGGAGGAATAGGGGGAAATCAAGAACAACAACAACAGCTTACGGAGCTGATGAAAGCCAACCCATTAGGAAGTACATCAATATCCTCTGCACCATTGTCTGCAAATAAAAAAGAGTGTTTTATTAGTGATATTCAAATGAAGTCCTAAGACAGGGGAGAATATAGTTCCAGGTAGTCCACAAAGGAGCCCAAATTTTATGTTGCTAAGTGAGACAGTTGTTAAAGTGAGTTTGCCCCATTTTACGACCATTGCTGCCACAGTTAAGTGAATCACTGCAGTTGTTAAGTTACTAACATAATTGTTAAGTGAATCTCTCTTCCCCATTGACTTTGCTTGTCAGTAGATCACAAAAGGTGGATCATATGACCCTGTGACACTGCAATTGTCATAAATATGAAACAATTGCCAAGCATCTGAATTTTGATCACATGACCATGAGGATGCTGCAAGGCTCGTAAGTGTGAAAAACTGTCATAACTCATTTTTTTCTATGCTGTTGTAACTTTGAATGGTCACTAAATGAATTGTTGTAAGTTGAGAACTAGCTTTACTGAAACCAGAGCATGACTGCCACTGTCTGACAATAGGACTAAATGCCACTTCTACTTCTATTTCAAACAATTTTTCCTTTATTGTCTCCCTCACAAAGTTGTCACTGCAAGACAGCCTCTGTGTAAGACATTATAGGAGAGATGGATCATTAGGTTGTGCAATAAGCAGCTTTATAGCCAAATCTTTACAATACTCCATTTAAAGATATCTTAGAGCAGGACCTTGGAGTGACATCCATTTGAGAGTGATAAACTAGGTGTTGCCTCACTTCTAGGAATCATTAAAATCTGAGTGGATGGAGAACAATAGGATGACAATAGGCAAAGTCAAAGATTCAAAGATGCTTGTACACAATATTCCTTCCTATTCCTCTATTTTGAACGTAGCTATTCACTCCTGCCTACCTCAGAAGGCTGGGACTATGCATAAAGGTGTCAATAGACAGCCAATGGATTAAAGTAAAAACACAACTCACGTGTCCTACCTTCTGAGCTATTCTGACTCCTGGAATAACAAATATCTCATCATATCTGCTCTATGCAGGAAGTAGGGGAAAAAATGCTAGGTCCTATTCCGTTCCATGCTATATGCATGTGTTTATCTTTGCTCAGTAAAGTACTTATTAACTATACAGATACCGATATTGTAGTACTTTGAATTATTAATGATCCCTGAGGAACTAAATTATCATTTTAAAATAGTTTGGTGTCTTTCACTTATAATTGTGGCCAAGGTTGGATGGGCTTGCTGACCCATATTTGTTTTTTCATGGTATCTCTTTGTCCTTGCTAAAGCCATATGCCAGCAATTAAGCATTTTAATAACTAGTAGTTAAATATACAGGAGGGGAAAACTCTTCCAGAAGAATAATTACATCTCCCAATGCAGTCAATTAAAGCAGCTGATCTTGTCCAGTCTTTTCAAGAATATCTCAGCCTCCTTCCCCACCCCCAATTACTCATTTCTCTGCTGCAAGAAAAACTTCACTCTTTTGAAAAGTGTGATTGTTATCTGCAGAGATAGAGAACAAACTACCCAAGGTAAGTTCCCTTATCTGCAATCAATGGCTGAAAATTTTTTGTTGCTATGGAGATCCTGCAGAATAAGCAAAGGCCACAAGGAACGTTCACTCTGTTTAATCTTTGCCTGGGAAGGATACATCTTCTGAAGCCCTGCTTCATCTTTCTAGGGTGGTGCTTGTTTTGCATTGTTATCTGAAGGCCACATAAGCCATTTATTCTGTACAGACACTTTTTCCCCTTTTTGGTTTTGTGTTCTGCAATGCCCAACTATAGAAGCCATACAAGGTGCATGATCTTGCATGGGCAGTAAGCTTTCAATTTCTACTAAAAGCATGGCAAGTCAAAATGTTTAACAATAGCTCAGTTTTACTATTAGTAAGAATAACTGCAGGTAATTCTTGACTTATGACCATTTGTTTAATAATTGCTCAAATTTATCACAATGCCGAAGAAAGTGACTTACCACGAGTCCTTGCACTTATGACCAGCATCCAGGCACATGACACCAGTACATTGTAATTGTTTTAAATACCTGCCAGTTGCCAAGCGCCTGAATTTTTTGATTCGGTGTATTACAGTGTACTGGGGTCACGTGATCACCATTTAAGACCTTTCCATGAAGCTTCCAGGCAGCAAAGTCAATGGGAAGCTGAATTCACTTAACAAATGTGTAATTCATTTAATGACCACAGCAAAAGTTGTAAAATCAGTTGTGACTCACTTAACAAGTGCATCAGTTAATGACAGAAGTTCCAGTCCCAGTTACAGTCCTAAACCAAGGACTACCTATACTTTATATAATACACAGGCTGCTGCTTACCAGAATAGTAGTGATTGACATAGTCCATTTCCATATTTCCAACTCCTGAAGTGCCACACAAGCACTGATTGAAACAATACTCAGAAAGTGGTTTGCTGAATGTTAGTTTAGTGTTATAAACATTTAGTTGGCCTGATTTGTATATAACTCCTGGCTTAGCATCATCTTCAAACTGAAGATTGATTTCAGAGAACTGGCTTCAAATCTATAGTCAGCCAGAAAGCTCAGAGGGATTTTATGCTTTGTCTGATTTTTCACAAATGATAGCTATGAGGAAATATTAGTAAGGGGAATTTTCCCCTGCATTTTATCCTTTTTCTCTGTGCAGAAATCTTTGATTAAAAATATAGTAAACATCTAACTATATAGAAAGCAGAGCAATTATGTGCTTTCTTCAGCAAATATATGACCAGCTATTGATGAGTTGTCAAAGTTTCCTGCACATGTGCGCAATTCTGCATAAGTAACAACAAAGATGCCACAGACGTACCAATTCCTGGTATGAGTTCACAGTTAGGAAGGCGCTTGGGAACCAGTTCTCGGGTGGCAAACAGCTTCTGCCTGCAAGGAAATATGCTCAATAAAATGGACAAATAAAATTGGACAATGCACCACACAGCAAATAGAAAATTACTTTTACTTGAGATTGGCTATAATGACAGAATCTTGCAAGTTTTGTTCTGTACCTCCTCTTCCTTATAGTTCAGTGATTTAGGAAAGCGTTTGCTTGAATCACTTCAAGCAGAGAGTTAAAACTAGATTCCTCCCATTTTGGGATAAGCCTCAGCTCTGCTTCCTCCTTCTTATATGGGAAAAAAAACAAAGTAATCTTATGCACAGAATTCTATTTGTTAAATTCAAATCAAACGAAGTAAAACATTCAGAATAAAAAAAAGACAGAAAGTTCAGTAATGCTCAACCTTGTATATGACTAACCAAATAGTATGAAAGGGGAAAAAAGCATGAAAGCTTTTAGTATTAGTATTAACATTACAAATTAAAGCCATTGGAATTCTCAGTGCAAGTGAATAGTTCATTTTGTTCATCTTGTGCTGGGGCTCCCTCCTGTGGCAAAAAGAAAAAAATATATTAAAAGAGTTAAAAAAAAGATCTGGTGCTTTTTAAAATGGTTTTGAAAGTTAATTTCAACCAAATCAAAACAGTTAAACAATATGTTGTCTGACTGGAAGCAAATTTATTTTTTTCTAATGATTCCTTTTATCTCTCAGCAACACAACTACAATACATTTTTTGTTTTTTTTTAAATAGACTATACTTTGCTAATTTTTAAAAAATCATATTCTATTTGTTTCCTATAAATACACACTGCGGGTTACCTCTTTGCCTAATAATATTAACTCAATAAGAACAGCCTTTGCCCTTTTCTCTATAATATGCAACAAAAGATAGGTTACGTTTGCTTTTTGAGTGACATGGCTTTTGACTGTGACAATTGTGCATTTATCTCTTTTGTTCCCTCCTACCCTTAAATATGCAATATTTGTAATACAGTGGTGTATTAAACAGAAAACTACATTTGGAGATGGGAGAAAAGGAAATATACTTATTAAAGACATCAAGCTCAATATTTTTTTCAGGGCATTCAGCTGGGGAAGTATCAAGATTGCATTTAGCTTCGGAGATATATTTGGCTCCTTTCCTTTATATATTTGTCACCAATCAACAGAGTGGAATGTTTTATTTGTTTTCATACAACACAAGCTGGAAGGAATACTTTTTTACTGTCAATTCCAAGTCTGGCTTTTGGGAGGGAAGTGCACAAAAAGAATCCCACAATTATATGATGCTGTATCTGGGGGACATACAATTGCAAGCAATTGACACCTCAACCCTGAGTTCATGTCACTGAATCTGTAATTGAAGAAGTGCTCCACCAGAAATGGCAGCCTTGTGCCTGAAGAGGCACTCTTGTTCCCTGGGGAAGGAATGTCCAACATGGCCTCTCTCCCAGATCCTGGGAATCTTGCTGTAGCTGCAAACCAGCATCATTAGAAAAAGGAATCCAAACTCTGGAAGATAGTTGAGGTTTGCAAAAATGGTTAGCAAAGAAATATTGGAAAAAGTTTAAGCATTATTTTCTTTAAATTTGTGTGTTTGTGTTTGTGTGTGTGTGTGTGTGTGTGTGTAAAAGGCACACATGGAGGCAAGAGTCTGAAGAGGTAGGATAGGGCAGTCCGTTTTTGGCTAGCAAGTGAGCACTATTAGGCTAACAGGTTTTCTATGATCAGCTACTGGTCAGAAAATGATTAGCTGGCAGCTCTTTGTGAGTCCAAGACCTCAGCAACTTTATGATGCTTTGACTTCAATTTCCAGAATTCCCTAGCCAGCCAGCATTAGCTGGGGAAATCTGGGAGCTAAAGTCTATTTGTCTTAAGGTTGCTAAGGCATTGGGAAACATTGCTAAATAATCATGTCATCAGTTCTGTACTCATAGCATTCTGATATCTGAATATATCTGTCAGAACATCCCAGATCAATCTCAGAAGCATTTCAAATTGGATTCAAGGGGTTAGGAGACAGAAAAACTGGTTCTCCCAAAAAAAAGGCCTTACTGTATTAAGCTATCTTTTTGTAAACAGTATTTACAAAACTTTAAACAGCAAAATAAAATCCTTTAAATACATAAAAGTTATGTATTTGCTGTTCAAGCATTAATATTAAATTACTACAGAGTGTCCTCTATAGATAAGAAACATTTAAAATGAAAGTTATAGCAGTCCTCTGTCCAATTAACTGCTAATTAGCAGACTGATCTGCCCCTTAGAGTAGGCTAAAACAGCTTTTTCCCACTGGCTATCTTCTCTATTTGTTAGACTAAATCTCCCATTATCCCCAGCCAAAATAATTATCTGGCCAGAAAAAGCTGCTTTTCAGGCATAGTTGTACAATTAAAACTGCAAGCCATTCCTTCTTGTAAGCAAATAACAATTCCCCATTCTGGGTCATAGGACTTATGACAGCTGAAGCCCAACCCATATAAAAAGGAAAGATGGGAAATGCCAGCTATTCCACTGATAAATGAAATGGTGCAAGGAGAACCACATATCAATAAACCACATCTGTAGCAGTCTCACATGCTCAGAGTTGTGCTTGCATGCGAGTGGCTGCATGCTGCTTTTTCCTCATTTGATAGACAATCTTGCTGGATGATCTAGCAGAGATCAGACAGGATAGAAACAGAAATTACATTAGCAATTGCACTTTTCAATAATCAGGAATGTGGATGAACATGCATGCATTCAGCCTTCCTGACAAGATAGCAAGAATTTTAATAATTATTCCTTTATAAACTTGTACAAAACCTGTATAATATTGCATTAGTCATAAACAAAAACGTTAATTTCAGGTCATTTTTGCAAAGGCACAATATTCCTGCTTATTGGGAACAAAATTTTGAAACAGCCAACAAAATCTGGGTTAAAGTAGCAAACAGAGAAATGCAGACAGGGAGCTCACCAAGAAATTGGAATAGAGTGATCCTTCCTACCAAATCCAGGGAAAAAATTGGGGGAAAAGAATACTTCAATTTTCAAAGGAAAAGCAAGACATAAATATAATTCTGAATTATGCAGTTGAAAGCCACACCCTTGAGCTGGTTGTAGCAGGGATAAGATACTTTGAAATCACCTCTCCGAATTACTCAAGGAAAAAAAATTACAAAATTCACCCAGCATCAAGTCACTGTTGCTAAATAAAAAGTGTTCCCATGCTGCTACTGTTTCCCCATCCCAATTCCTCAAAAGCAAACTGAAGACAATCCTTGATCTTCATTTCTGCCAAAGTCAAAATGTGAAAAGCAAAGAACATTATATAGGCACTCCCCCCACCCCCGAAGTGCTATAGAACAAAACTGCAGTGGTTAAAAAAAAAAAAATCACTCAGCTTCATACCCTCTAAACATAAAATGATTTTTGTGTTACACAGGAGCAGCTTCTACAACGGGATGCTGCAAGGGTGATGCAAGATTCCCTATAAATGGGGAAACGGACTCCACACAGCCACAGTATTTCAAAGAAACACAGCTTTGCTATAGTTTCAAATAGAATATTGTAATGTATATGTTAATGTTGAGAAACACTGATGACGATTCCAGGTATAGGAAAGCCACTGCAATTAGAAGGCTGGATTAAAATGGATTGCCCAGAAGCAAATTCAAACTCACTGGACACCTTAGATTCTTTTTTCATTGATAAACTACCCCACAAAGTTGTGAGAATAAATAGCAGAACCCAGTGAAGAAAAGTGCACCTGTCTTGTGGTCCTGGAAGAAATACGTGAGTAACCAGGGGAAAAAAGGGCATGTTTATTCCAAGCCATTTGATGTATTAATAATTTCACAGGAAGCATTTCACCGCATTATTGTACAGACCTATCTTAACTTCTAAGTAAATAAGCACAGAAAACGCATAACCAAGACACAGGCATAGTATCGCGAACCCAATTGAATTTATCAGAGAGTACCCTTGCCCCTTGTATTCACCAGGCTGCAGCGCTAAAGACGAAAGAGAAAATAAATTACACCCAATCGTATACCTACTCAAATCAAACGGGCGAAAATCGCCGAAATTTGCACGGAGGAGCACGCGGAGTCTAGATAATTTCACATCGAAGCAAACCGGTTAAAACCGATGCTATACTTACCGAAATACTATGAACCTCTCCACGAGCAAGGCTCCAAAAACGACGAAGACCGTCATCAGTAGCATCAGCCTCCTCATGGTTCAGCCTGACTTCGGTACCCACGAGACGGAGACGGAGACGAAGACGACGAAGACGAAGACGACCAGCCGCCGGCAAGCTCCAGGGAGAAATGTGGTCCCGCGGCTCCCGCTCGGCTTGATATTGAAGAACCAACTCCGCAGCGCCTCCCACCGCCAAGAGATCGCATCGAAGGGGAAACGCCCAAGCTCGTCCGTCTACTCCAATCAGCACCCAATTTGGCAGGGCGGAGGCGGGAATTAAAAAGTTTGCTAGAGCCGCTGCGTTCTCCAAGGTAAGGTAACTATGAAGACCTTCTCGAATCATGGTTATCAGACTCCTGGAGACGATTTGAGACGCGTTGACGCAGTTTTCTGAGACACAACAGTTCCCCTCTATCTTCTACTGGGAGATATATTTTTTTTCGATTTCCCAGTCTAGTGTGTGGTTCTAGGATTCACTTTTCACACCAAATAATAAACCCAGAACAAAATATATTTTATCACATGGTATGCAAGCTTTCCTAGAATGTGCTGTAACCTCGATGAGACAACTATCTTATCGATTGAGGTCAAGATAAGATGATCTCCCTGGGTCCCATGTACAGAGACAGCTAGGCTGGCAACTGAAATGTCCCTCATGAAAATGATAATCCTTCTCTGATAGCTGATTTTCTAGGAGGCTGGGTATTGCAATTACTGGATCCTTTTTTTTTCTGGGCAGATGAGCACTTTTCAAAAGGAGGACTCAGCTGCAGCCATCTTGCTCTCCAAATCATAAAAAGGCCTTGGAATTGCAATACTTAAGAATAGTGTTTGTGGAGTAACAATTTCCCATCTTGTTATTTTTAATTTAAGCAATCTTAAAAATTAATTTGGGGAGGGCAGTGATAGAAGTAAAGTCTTCATCCTGGTTCATCCAAGCCGGGAATAAATAAGCAAACATGGCAACTGCTTTGGGATGTTAGAAGTAAGTCTTCATCCTGGTTCATCCAAGCCGGGAATAAATAAGCAAACATGGTGACTGCTTTGGGAAGAAGGTTACAGTTTATTGCAGAAGACAGATAAGCAGCAGAGGAGAAGAAAAAGAGTGAGAGAGCACATGGGTAGAAGGTCTTTTTATACCCCCCTCCCAGCCCTGCTTGGAAGTTTCCTGTTCCTGTGGCATGAACTTTGAGGCTATTTCTGAGTGTTTTTCTAGGCCTTGATATCTGTGGTTTAATCCCATTAACATATCCTGCTTCCCAGGTGATGGGGCTAATGACTCTTAAGAGCTTCTTTTGTCTTGAGATCCCTGGCTCCAAACTTCCTGATGGTTCCACATCTGCATATGTATAAGACCAACTACTGCCCTGGGCAAAGAGATGAGGCCAGGTTTGGTTTCTGCTTTTCAAAAAATGCTTTTAAAAATCCTTTTGGTGAACAATATTTTTTCCTGCCTTTTTAATATTTCCTTCTCTGGGTTAACTTCCCACAATATCCCCGCTTTGTGCCTTAAGTGTGTGACTGTATTACACACTTATTTGGCACAACATTAAAATTGTTTTGGTCAGGGAGACTTGGTAGGCAAGCTTTTAAACTGTTATGCCAAAAAAAAATAAGACACTAATAGAGGCAGCAGAAAAAGATCCCTTCTCCCAAAAGGGGAGTTCTAAAAGTCATCCGTTTTTAAAACAATCCACCTTTTCTTTAAATATCACAGGTTATAAGACACGGTTAGTAAAAGTTTACAACCTACAGTGAGAATCGAAGGTCAGTCCGAACGTGTAAGGAGAGTTTTAAGAAGTGTCCCATGGTTTTCCTTAGTACATGACCACTGGCTGCCCATTTTCAAGGGTTGTTTTCCTGCCTTAGCTCTTACTTCAGTGCATCCAGGTTTGTAATATCCAATTAAAGTTAGCCAGTATGCCAGGCTATTAAATTTTTCTTAAATTGCACATAGTGAGCTCTAGGACTCCCAATCTGGGCTCACCAGTGCAAGATATTCAGAGCTGAGATTTGGGGATCTTTCCTGTTGCTTCCTTTAGTCCAGACATGTCCAAAGTCCGGCCCGCGGGCCATTTGCGGCCCGCGGCCCGGTTTAATCCGGCCCTCAAACAGCCCTCCCTGCTCTATATAAATGCGGCCCTCCCACGGCCCTCCGGCAAGTCCCATGAGAGAGAGAGAGAGAGAGAGAGAGAGAGAGACAGAAGTCTGTCTGTCTGTCTGTCTGTCTGTCTGTCTGTCTGTCTGTCTCTCTCTCTCTCTCTCTCTCTCTCTCTCTCTCTCTCATGGGACTTGCCCCCTCGCAGGCCTCCTCATTGGCCCTGCGCCGTTACCCCGTCCCCAGCCGCAAGCCACCATCCGCCCTGTGGTTATAAGTGTCCCGGCAGTTGGGACCCGCCCCTCCCAGAAGTCAATCAATCCTTGGCGGTTCTCCGGCCGGCCGCGGCTTTCCCCGGCCGGCTCCAGCAGTTCCGGCTGATTGTCGGCACGTGGCTGTTTCTCCCTGGCAGCCTCGGCCCCCCCAGCCCTGTAGGTGAGCGCCCGGCAGGGCGCAGCGTCGCCAGGCCTCCCCCCCTTGTGTGAGGCTTCTGGCGTTCCCCCTCGCGCCTGGCTACAGCGGCTCGGGGTTTCCCGTCCCGGGCACGCCAGGCAGCGCTGCAGGGAACGGAAGGGAGGGGTGGAGGGCCATACCTGGAGCTCCGCAGGCCGGGGCGACGCCGGGAACGAGCTGGGCGGCTGCTGCGGCGGCGGGAACAAGCTGCTCGGCTGTGGCGGCGGCAACGGCAACAGGCCGGGTGGCTGCGGCGGCAGCGGCGGTGGCAGCAGCAGTCGGCTGGCGGTCCCCCAACCCTCACCCGTGAGTGGCAAGCCCTGTGAGGCTTGACAAAGAGAAGAGAAAGAGAGGAGAGAGGGGAAGAGAAAAAGTGGAAAGAGAAAGACGAAAGAGAAAGAGGAAAAGAGAGAGAGAAAGTTAGAGGAAAGAGAGGAAGAGAAGAGAAAGAGGAAAAAAAGAAAAAGAGAAGAGAAAAAGAGGAAAGAGAGAAAGAGAAGAGAAATAGAGGAAAGAGAAAGAGAGGAAAGAGGGAAAGAGAAAGAGGAAAGAAAGAGAGAAAGAGGAAAGAAAGAGAGGAAAGAGAAAGAGAGGAAAAGAGGAGAAAGAGAGGAAAGAGAGAAAGTTAGAGGAAAGAGAAAGAGGAGAGGAAAGAAAGGAAAGAGGAAAGGAAGAGAAAGAAAGAGAGGAAAGAGAAAGAGAAGAGAGGAAAGAGAAAGAGGGGAAAGAGAGAGAAAGTTAGAGGAAAGGAAGAGAAGAGAAAGAGGAAAAAAAGAAAAAGAGAAAAGAGAAAAAGAGGAAAGAGAGAAAGAGAAGAGAAATAGAGGAAAGAGAAAGAGAGGAAAGAGAAAGAGGAAAGAAAGAGAGAAAGAAAGGAAAGAGAGAAAGAGGAAAGAGAGGAAAGAGAAAAAGAAGAAAAGAGAAAGAGAGGAAAGAGAGAAAGTTAGAGGAAAGAGAAAGAGGAGAGGAAAGAGGAAAGAGAGGAAAGGAAGAGAAAGAAAGAGGAAAGAGAAAGAGAAGAGAGGAAAGAGAGGGAAAGAGAAAGAGAGAGAAAGAGAGAGAGGAAAGAGAGAAAGAGGAAAGAAAGAAAAAGAGGAAAGAGAAAGGGAGAGGAAAGGGAGAGAAAAGAAAGAGAAAGAAAGCAAGAGGGAGAAGAAAGAGAAAAAGAGAAAAGAGAAAAAAGATTGAGAAAGAGAAAG